GGATTCCTTTCAGCAGAAGAAAACTCTGTCTGAATTGACTTTGTGCATTCACATCACAAAAATCTTTCTGTGGCACCAGATGCTGACATACTAATAGACCTGTAGCAGATGGCAAACAATAACATTCTTCCTCATCTAATTCATGATCCTTGAAGATTATTCTGCTTGCTAAAAGTGATTGCCAGCATCTGCTAGTTCTTTCCTGCTGTGTCATTCTTTTCTGTCAGCAAACAAGATTTATTGTCAACCACCCATAGAAATGTTTTTGTTTAGCCTGTGGGATTGTTTTATGCAGCACTAACCTTCACTGTAATAGAATAAAAATTATTCTGGTGGACCACATACTCCAACTTCATTATGTAGTCTACTTTTCTGAAGATGTTCAGTGAATTCTGTCTGCAAGCGAATTCTTCAGTTTTTTACTAAAAAATTGTCAGTTGTCTGATAGTTTAAAAATAAAAACTCAGAGCTTATTACATTAGAACACTCAGAGCAGAAGAGCGATACAAAACAGAGAAAATGCACTGAGTTTTATGCCTGTTGACAAAACAAAAGTGTTCAAAGAAAACTGAAGGAGACTAGGCATAAAAAAGAGATAGCACTGCTAAGAAGTAATTCTTGATGAAGCCTATATATTTTCAGGAAGGTTATCACAATGGGAAGGAGTAAAACTTATCTGTTGTGAAGCAGAATGCACTCCTCTAGACTATCTTCAAAGATTCAGAGATTACAGAAAGAAAACTACAAGAACTTTGAAACAGATTCAAAATCTGAAACTCTTCTTTGGGAAATTAGTTGAGATGTGCCCTTATCATAATTGGATCATGCTTTGATATTTCACGTTAAGCCCTGTTTTTCATGTATTACTGCAAAATTAGATTTTGTTCAAAACAACTGACACCACACCACTTTCATAACAGGAATTGTCATGCAACATCTAGTCTAGTCTAGCTTTTCTGTGATGTCTTTCGAAAGTGGGTGGTACAAGCTGATACAGGGAAAGACCTAGGAAAGCCCAACTGGAAAATAAACTTGAAGGGTGATCTCATCTGTTCCTGTTACTTAGAGGTTGGATTTTACACGAAAGTGTAAGCTGCTTTACCACTTAGAGAGCTCTTGGTTCATTTTACTTACTACTTTAAGAAACCAAAACAAACTACTTGTTATCTTTTTGTTCAGTCCTTTTCAGTACCCTTTGAATTTGTCAAGAAATATGGTTCATTCATATTCTTCAAGATTGTCAGTATGTGTAAATGTCTTCACATACTGTTTTTTCCTTATGGATCCTGGCTTTCTAATAATGCAATGTGAATTAAATTTACACTGGACCTGTTGATTCACATAGCAGTGAGAACAAAGAGAAATTGTACTTCAGCATCCAGTTGACATTCCAGGGTGGGTTTTTTCTTCTTTAATCTTCAAGTGTGTATCTTTAAAATACTCTCATGTGCTGGTTTAGGAACTCATTTCAGGGCTCCAAGACATGTATATATGAAATGAAACAAAAGAGAGGAAGTTTCAGCAAAAAAAAACAGTTTAGTTTTCTTTGATTATACATTTTGTTTGAAGTGGTGGTCTAGCCATAGACCTAGTGGCACTATATTTCTTTGTCAGCTACATATTACAGTTTATTTTGTTGTACCATTTTCTTGTTGTATTTTTTTGTCCTGAATGTACATAAATCCTTACATCTTTCTTACTGAATTTGCTGAGTAGCATAAAGTTGTGTGTGTCTCTCAGAAAAAAAAATCAAGGTTCTGCAATGACGTGAACACCTCTATTGAATAATGTAAGTAGCAGGTTACTGATGCATGGGAGTATTTGAGAGAAGGTACGGGATAGTGCATTACTAATACTCCTGACTGATCTGTTAGAAGTCTTTACTTTTTCATAATTATATTTTGGAAAACCTAATGTTGTTTAAATATACACACAGATCATGTAGACAAAATACATTTAATTTTATATTTACTTTACTGTTTACACTTTATCTTCCATGTTTTCTGAAAATCTCTTTTTCTCACAAAGTAGTAAATTATGAATATTGAGTTTGAACCTGTATATTTCAATCAGTGTTCAAAAGCTTAATTTTCTGATAAAAGAAGTAACTGTATTGTTCACTGTAGCCTCATGGGAGGTCAGAACTTCTCAAGACAAATTTCCATTGGGACTACTCTGTCTGTCATTAGGTACATCTCCACAACTAAGCAAACTTGCTTCTGTTAGCTTTTAATAAATGTCTGTAGAACACTTTCCTCATTCTCTAAATTGCATTTGAGTTTCAAGCAAAATCCACTGTGGCTTAAAGAGCGTTTAAACCATATTTATAGTAGATGGTTTCAGATATAGAAGCAATCTAAGTTTTACTCAGGGGAAAACTGCACTGAGTCCTCCCTTTTTCAGTCATTCAATCATAAAGTTGATAGTGATTGTGACAGATATTTTTGTCTTCAACAATATAGTTTTGGTCCTTTTAAAGTTTTAGTGCTTTCTCAACAAGATTAGATGAATTTGCTGAATACTCACATGACAGAAGTTTAGGATGACACAATGTGGCTTGCAAGTTTTTGTTGTCATTTCCAGTAGCTGCTCATATTCTAAGATCTTACTATATTTTTGTGTATGTTTGGCATTTTTATGAAGTTAAATGCAATGTCCTTTTCAGATACAAAAGCACTACATTATCTACCTTTAAGAAATATGGAGAATTTTTTTTATGTTTCCATTAATGTTGACTCCTGCAGCTTTTTTTAAACTTACAGTATCAAACTTTAGATTTAGAACTTCAGATAACTTAAAAGAACCTGTGAAGAGCCAATGACTGAGTCATTCCTTCAAACTTCTAATTTTGTTCTACTCTTAGGGAGTATTAGTATAAAAGAAAATTACAGCTTTCAGGTTGAAGTCTTCACTTCTTCCATACATAAATGACGTAATCAATATTTAATTTTTGGCAATGTTGTGTGTCAAAGTCAAATGAGGCAGATATAGAAGATGAAGGACATATTTTAAATTATCACCAGGAATACATTTCAGTGACAAGAGGTGTTCAAAGTATTTCACTTTGCAAGATCATCAGTCTCAGTGATGTTCAGTTCTTCCACTTCAATGTGCAAAATTTCTTTCAGTGTTATCTTTGATCATGAAGGGTCCTAAGGAACTTGTTATAATCCTTTTATGATTATAGCGGTTTTTTTCTTTTTCCATTCTGCTGCTTCATTCCTGACACTTCTGCTTCAATCTAGTGTATCCTCCCAGATTCTTCTCAATACAGTGCAGCAGTGATTTTCAAATCAATTACTAATTAAGATAATATAATGCTTTATGTATAATTATTGCCTTTTTTCTTTGTTGTCTAAAGTGTATTGTTCTGGGCAAAAATGTGAATGATTGAGTCCTAAGAAGTCTTATTTTTAGTTTACATTTTGGTTAAAAACTCTGATTGTTGTTAGTTAAAAACACTAAATGCCACAGCTTCAGAAGTGACACATTTTAACCAAGGAAGATGCAGTTTGGTGTGCTTGGGACATCAAAAAAACCCAAATGCATAATAAATAATAAAAGCAAAGTCTACTAAAATCCTTTCTAAAATGGAAGATTCACTTTGTAGGAAGCTTGAAAAATGTAAGAGTAGGGTTTGGTGGATTTCTGTAAGTACCAAATTAGAACCATCAACAAGTCTCTGGAGAGGCAGAATAAAGACTTGTGTCATCAAGTTTAAGCTGGACATTGAATTTCAGTAGAGGTACTTAGTTAACTTAGTTTTATTTACTATTTTCTTGAATATCTGCTTTTCAGGTAGTACCATATTCATTGGTAACCAGAGTCTGTATTAAATAGTGTAGCACTGCCAAAATCCTAGTTCCCTTCCTTGTCTCATGCCCAAGAACTGTTTGTAGCAGGGCTAAAGAAGGATGCTGGAGTAGCTGGGAATTGGCTGCCTATACCAACCCAGGGCATCCAGAACAATTCTTGAATTCATAGAAGGAGCTACGTTTCAGACCTGTTGTATACTGAATGGTACAAAGAAGTTCTAATGTGCGAAATTCCCCTACATTTCTCTTTCTCAGTAACCACTTGGGATTTTATTAAGGTATGGAATTCCATTCTTTTCCTGAGTCCTGTGAAACTTTCAGACATGTCAGAAATACGCTTCTCAGTCTTTCCCTGAAAATAATTATTTTTTCAAATTCTAACTATTCTACATGTGTATCCCTCCAGAAGAGAATAATCTTTCGGTACAGGCATCCTGGCTCACACGTACATTGCCTGAGTTTTGATCTATGTATGCTTATGCTGCATCAACTTGTCAGTTAATGAAATAAAGTTTCAAGAATAACACTATGCATCTATGTGCTGAAT